CAGGCCAGGGCAGCCCTGCCAGCCTCTGGCCTGCTGGGCACGGGACTGGTGTCTGGGGAGGCACCTTCTAATTTCGGCAGTCGGGTGGTGTGAGACGTGCTGGAGTGGTGCTCACGCTGGGCAGTCGCAGGTCCAGGCACCGACTGCGTGAACACTGCAGGATCCCGCTCCTGAGAGGATCTGCCCTGCTGCTCGCCCTGGAGCCTGGCGGGCAGCGCTGTGGCAATTCGCAGCTCTCGGGGAAACGCACCGGGTCATGGTCCCGAGGGATGGCCGTTCTGTGGCCAGCTGTGCACTCCCAGTGCATGCAGGCTTTCTGAGAGTGTTCATGCAACAAGGAAGAAAGACTCGGAGTGTGTTTGAAGATGAACGTTGACCCGAGGTAGGTGTGAGCGAGAGTGGATTCCAGCGGAAGCACATCTGGCTATACAACGTGGCCCTAAGAAAGTGTTGTTTAGAAAACATTCAGTGCTTGCATTTTATGATACATTATGAATAATCACATATTTTATTGTATGCTTGAGTTTATCTTAAATTTTAGTGTTTATGGAGTTGACTGATTCTAGGTAGAACTCTTATTACATCTTGAAGCCAGTGGTTTTTCATGGGTAATGCCTCACTGACTTTTTAAAGTTAGAGGATGGTGGAAGGATTGAGTTTGATTTCTATAATTTTGTATTAAAATTAGGTTTTTTGAAATATATTTGCTTTCTGTTGCTCACTGTTATAGTCATTTTCAGGAGGATTGCCTGAGTCCTGTTTTTCTTTTTTCTGTATTTTAGGGACGGGCCTACAGGGTGTTCAGGGTCTCACTACTAGATTGCACTCCTAGTGATCCACTTGTTTACAGCCTCCCAAGCGCTGGGATTACACGTGCCATCTCAGCACACCCCAGGGGCAGGCCAGAATGACAGGCCTGGGGATTGAACTCCCAGCCCTGCACCTGCTTGCAGGCGCTTTAATCCGCTGAGTTATTTGGCCGACCTGCCTGAGTTCTTAATAATGGGCAATTTCCTAAAATGATGACTACAACTTACATTTAATGTGTAAACACAAGAGATTGAAAGGACTTGGGAAGGAAACAGGAATATGCGGTGAGATTTTGGTAAAATTCGTCCATTACAGGATCACTCCAATGATGGGCATTAATGTGTTTACCTGCCAAATAGTAATGTGCTTCTTGAGGAAGCATTCTGCAAGACACTTTCTTCACTAGTTGCAGTTTTAGAATAAGAGAAATATTCACTTTCATTTGTATGTATAAATTCTAGTATGATTAAAGGTTACTCTTGTTATTTTATATGTAGTTGCCTATTATTTGTATGACTGAATGTGTAACTGTATAATGACAAAGTACTTTAAAAAATATATTGGAAGCACAATGAGGTAAAAAGTATAAAGTTTTAGTTAAAAAGACAGTCTGACATATTAAAGTGACTATCATAGTACTTGGCTTATGTATGATTTTTATTTTTATCTATGTAATTTCCAAATATCTATAATTAATATTAATTTTATATTCAGGAAAGTTACTTGAAAACAAATTTTTTCGCCCTTTGATGAGTTCTGATTTTTTTTTCTGAAACTGAAAAATAAAAAGCTTAGCAAAATAAACTTTAAATTTGAAGGTAGTGATCGTGTTTTTCCTACGAGCATGCTGTGCACGTAGGCATTTGGCTTTCTCAGTGAGGACGGCGAGCTGGTCTTGCGCGTTACTTCCCGCGGCCATCTCTAAGCTGGACAGGTGTCCAACCCACGTGTAGCGTTCTGTGTTTCTGTGTAACCACCTGTGGAAGCAGTACTGGGAGGGGAGGTCTGTGGAGACCGAGGTCCAGCGTGACGTGCGGGGAGGTGAGAATGCGCCCCTGACGGCGCAGTCGTGTTCAGGGCTGCGCATGCGCCTCTCACCACGCGCCTTCCGTATTCCTGTGTTTTGTTTTTCCGATGCGTACGTAACGTGCGCGCTGCCTTCGTAGTAACATTTGAAGCGTGCAGTGGAGTATTACCGCCGGTGCCCCGCGCTGCGCGGCGGGTGCTCGGAAGCCACTGGCCGCACGACTCAGTGCTGTGCTTCTGACCCACCTCCGGCCCTTTCCCCTCCCTGCGGTCTCTGGCAACTCACTACTTTACTTCCTGCTTCTGTGAATGCAGCTTTTAGGTTCCAAGTAACACTGAAACCAGGCAGCATTTCTTCTTCTGTGACTGGCTTATTTTATTTACTAGTGTCCTCCATGTTTACTTGCTGTTGGAAATGGTAGGATTTCCTGTTTGCGACTGACTTCTACTCTGTCACATTTTCTTTATCCATTTACCCATCAGTGGACATTTAGATTGATTGTATTTCTCGGCTGTGGTGAATAATATTGTAATGAATATGGGAGTGGAGATATTTGTTGGTGATTCAGTTACTTTGCATTGATAACTGGCGATGGGATTGCTTGAACAAGTGGCAAATCAGTTTTTAGTCTCCTGAGGAGCTTTTATCCTGTCATTAATAGTAGTGGTACTAATTTACATTCACACTGACCACATACAAGAGTTTCTTCTCCACATCCTTGCAAAATTTGCCTCCATTCTGCAATTTTAATGACTTTTATTTATTCACTTATTTTATGTATTTAGTACAGGGTCTATAGGGTGTCTACACAGCTCAGACTCATAGCGGTCCTCCTGTTTTCAGCCTTCCAAGTGCGGGGACTACAGGTGCACACCGCCACGCCCTGTCTCAGTCGCGTCTCAGCACGCCCCAGGGATCCGACCCTGGTCACTGTGCCTGCATGGGAGCTTTAGTCCGCTGAACTATCTGGCCAGGCTTTTAGTAACTGTTTTTGTAATTATCATTCTAGATATATTTTCAGCTCTTGATTTTTAAATTTTGGAATATTTTTCCTGATCACTATCTGCCTGAATACAGATTCTTGTCACTTTATCATTTTATTTGCCAAATGATTATAGATGCAGTGCTAATTAAATTTTTCCTCAAGAGAAATCACCTTGTGTACTCTCACCATAAGAGAACAAGAACATGTTTGAGATAAGTGCAACCTTAATTTTTAGGCAGTTTTAAGCATTTTAAAGTTAATATTTAGCATCTGCATGCTAAATGTAAAATAGAGGTGCATTTAGAAGTAAACAGTGAGGGGTACATATGGTGCAGTTTTAAAAGACAAATCTGTAAAGTTCACAAGGAAATGATTTACAAGTCACTCTGGTGGTGGAACGAATCCCGGGGTTTGTGCGACGGTAGCAGAGTTTGCCCTCCCTTGACTCTGCGCTGTTCATGAGTGTGTGTGCTTCGCAGTGTCCTCGGATGCCGTAAGTAGCCTTCATGTGTCTATGTTTATCTACTTTAAAGTAGCAAGATTCTCAGAACCCCAGCCAAGGCGGCTAGCTTGAGGAGAATGGCGTGCGCAGGCAGCCTGGCTGTGGCTCCTGGTGGCTGTGGCCTTTCTTCGAGGACAGGCGGCAGGACGTGCAGGGTGAGGCCAGCACAGCCACGAGCTCCTCAGCGCCGACGTGACGAAGGACTCCGCCCATTGATGTTC